TTGTATTTGTCAATAGTACCATCGTCTTTCATTTTCTTCTTGAAAATCCATTTAGAACCCAATGTTTTGTTACCTGGAGGAAGATCAACCAATTCCCAGGTATGGTTGTCAAAGGATTTAGACAGCGAGAAGGCTTTGACTATTTTGACACATACTCGCCGGTAATAAGAATTACATCCATTCGGATGCTAATAGCGTTAGCCGCCTTGTATGGTCTTCAAATCCTATCAAATGTATGTAAAAACAGCCTTCTTAAATGGTGATCTAGAGGAAGAAATTTACATGGACCAACCTGAAGGGTTTGTGGTTCCGGAAAAAGAAAAGAAGGTGTGTCGACTTGTTAAGTCCCTTTATGGACTAAAACAAGCACCCAAGCAATGGCATGCGAAATTTGACCAAACAATGTTGTCAAATGGCTTTAAGATTAATGAATGTGATAAATGTGTTTACATTAAGAACATTCCAAATCATATAGTCATTGTTTGCTTATATGTTGATGATATGCTAATAATGAGCAAAGACATTGCCGACATTCAAGCTACTAAGTGTATGCTTGCTAGTAAGTTTGATATGAAAGACTTAGGAGTTGCCGATGTAATTCTAGGAATTAAAATCCAGAGGACTCCTCAGGATCTAACTTTGTCTCAATCACATTACGTGAAAATGGTACTTGAAAAATTCAAACACTTGGAATTTAGAAGTGCAAGAACTCCAATTGACTTAAATTATCATCTTATAAAGAATAAAGGTGAAAGTACGTCTCAATTGGAGTATGCTCGTGTGTTGGGAAGCTTAATGTACATCATGAACTGTACACGACCTGATATAGCTTGTGCAATAAGTAAACTTAGTCGATTCACAAGTAATCCAAACAAACATCACTGGATGGCAATGAAACGAGTTCTGGGATATTTGGAGTATACCCAAGACTACGCTTTGCACTACAATAAATATCCTGCGGTTATCGAAGGATATAGCGATGCAAATTGGATAACCGGCTCAACAGAAACAAAATCCACAAGTGGATATGTTTTTACTGTTGGTGGAGGAGCAGTATCTTTGGAGTCTTCCAAACAAACGTGCATCGCTCGCTCTACAATGGAATCAGAGTTTATAGCTTTGGATAAAGCCGGTGAAGAAGATGAATGGCTTCAAAATTTCTTAGAAGACATTCCGTTCTGGCCAAAACCTTTGGCTCCTATTTGCATACATTGCGATAGTGAGGCTGCAATAGGACGGGCAGGGAGCGTTATGTATAACGGAAAGTCTCGTCATATACGATGAAGACATAACACCGTTAGACAACTACTTTCTAGTGGAATTATCACTATCAATTATGTAAGGTCAAAGGATAATGTGGCGGATCCGCTTACAAAAGGCTTAACTAGAGCGGGAGTTGAGAAATCATCTAAGGGAATGGGACTATGGCCGAGGACAAGTCAACATGACGGTAACTCTACCTAGAATTTTGGATGTTCCGAGATCTAGGTTCAAGGAGGTCAAACAAAGTTGTGATTGACCGATTCAACATTGTCAAAGTAAAATCTTTGGTCCCTTCTCGTGATGAAGACAATGTTCAGTAACAAGGATAGAACCTTACACGTTCTTTAATGATTACCTAAGTTTGATGTGGTATTTATCAAATAGTGTCAATCTAAAGGATTACACGTTTTGGAATCACTTATGTAAGTGTGAAGTGGAAGCCGCTTCAATGAGAATTCTGTAAGGCCAATTCTCTATGCACTTATGAAACCAGGCGGTGTTCATGGATAAAACGAACACAACAATGAGAACCAAAAGACGGTTAAGGGTTGATTGTGTGACATATTGTTGTCTAGGTATACACTAAAGTTCGACGGTTCAAAGATATCAAATCTACCGATTGACCGAGTATATCCGACATATGCTCACTACGGAAAGTTCAAAGGGAAACCTACTTATCCAGTTGCGATTAATCCTTACTTGCAAATCACACAGCTTTCATCTATGATCATTCTTGTTACAGCCATTCCCATTCATGTGGGGGATTGTTGGACTTTAAAGGCATTGAGCTTCAAAGACTTTAAGCATTGGGCTTTAAAGTATAAGAGTGTGAATTGGAAATGGTGGGAAATAAAATGGAGGGAAATAAAAATTTGAATGAAGTGAGCTTTTGACTTGCACTTTGTCCCTCATTGGTGAGGGACAACTACATTTGTGTGCTTATATATAGAATCACTTCTTAAAGCTCTTAAAAGGAGTTGAAGAGAATGAACCCTCGCGCCGTCGTCGTCGCTCGGCTCGGCTTCGGCTTTGGATTTGGATTTGGATTTGGATTTGGATTTGGATTTGGATTTGGATTTGGATTTGGAAATTGATCGATCGATAAGATTATTTTTTGAACAAAATTTATTTAATTAATTATTAAATGCCAGATCACTGCTGAAGATTCAGAAGGATAGTCTGGCCGCGGTCCTGGCGTAACCGCACCACTCTGGCCGCGGTCCTGGCGTTACCGCGGTAGGACCGCGGCAGGCCGCGTAAACTTCTGAAAAGGCACCTTTTCCAGAACAAACATCACACCTCTTCCAATAATTGCCTATAAATTCTGAGGCATGGCTTCGTTTTTAACACACCAAAAACATTACAGAACTTCCTTCTTTTTGAAAATACTGCATTCTAATTCGCAGTGTCTCTCTCTCAAATTCGTAAGTGTGATTTTGCTCCGTTCTTTAAGTTCGTTGGTATCCTGCAGTTTGTATTGCCACTGTTGCAGGAAGGTTTATTTCGTTTTATCCTGGGACGATTTAATCCATTACCTTGACAACGTGTGAGGGGGTTAAAATTCCTTAAGGACGCACAAGCAAATTGTGGACTCAGAATATTTCTTAATCTTTATTGTTTTTCCAATTTCTTTTATTCTTCTAACAGTTTTTCTGATTTTGTGTTTTAACACAGAAGCAACAACGATTCCGCAGGATATAATTCCTTTTAAGTCTTTTGAAACTTTTTGCGTGTCTATGCGTATATAGCTCTTGTGATTGTGTAGGCAATAACTAGAACTTTTTTGTTAAGATATCATCAATATCCAATTTATTACTTGTGTTCAAATGCTGTCTATGCTCATTGGAACAGAGTGAATCCTGCATGAATCATCCCAAAATCGAAGAGTTTAGATATCACTACATTCTTCCCAAATTCTGCTATTAGTTTCCTAGAGCACTTCTCTGCAATTCTGAGAAAAGGAGATTCTTTATTGCTATTTTTAATTTGAGCTTAAGTTGGATGGGCTTCATGCAAAGGTGGATTCCCTCCTTCCTCTTCTGGAAGGGGAAAAATCTGCTCTGGATTTGGCGGTTCATTCATTTGTGGAGGAGGAAGGTTGTCACGTGGACTTTGTGGACAATCCATATGTCCTGAAACTGCATCTCTCAGTTCAATATTGTTCTTGAATGTATGGCTATTATAGTCTTTTCTGTCAAAATTTCTAGCCAAGATTCTGATTCTTTCGTGGAACGAATGATTCGATCGTCTTATGATGTGCCAATGATCACGCATGAACGTTGTTAGAAAGATGAGGAGAGCCATAATTGCAGCAATTCCAGATATGACAAAGAGTCCCCAGAAGCTATCAAGGCCAAGACTATTGGAGTGAAGTGACGTGCTAGAATCTGAACAAATTGGTTGTCCAAACCATGCTTTCTCTATTTGTACCAACTTTTCACCTTCTGTTACACTCAAGACTGCTTTTGAAACATCATGTAATAGAGGAGATCCTATTGGGAATGCCTGTATGAAAATCATAATTCATAATATTAGGGACTAGAAAAGTGGAGCCTTGGCGTATCTGGTAAAATTGCTGCCATGTGACCAGGAGGTCACGGGTTTCGAGCCGTGAAAACAGCCTCTTGCAAAAACGCAGGGTAAGGCTGCATACGATAGACCCTTGTGATCCGGCCCTTCCACGGACCCCGGGCGTAGCAGGAGCTTAGCGCACCGGGCTGCCTTTTTTTATAATATTAGGGACCGGATGAAATCAAAAGAAAATGATTGTCAAGAAAAAAAAAGGAGTTACTTACAAAGCCAAAGCCATCGCTCTTATACATAGGTCCAACCATGGTATATTTCGAGCAATACGGAGTTGCTTGCAAAAGCTTCAGATAAGGAATCTCATCAAAAGCAGCAGCAATACCACCCTTTGCACTTCCTTTAGAGAGTAAATCAATACATTCCTCTGAAGTGTTATATTGTTTTAGCCTGTCCTCATCAAAGTTATTCTTTATTAGAAGTCCTTTTACAAAAGAACCCTGTTGGTAGCCCACATACTCCTTGTTCTTCTGAAGTTCTTTTATATCTGTAACAGTTGGCTGGAGGTTTTCAATTGTTAACGTTGATGTAAGACTTGCTGTGTAACTTGAAGTCAATATAAGTACTACTAGGAACCAGATGATCAACACAAACCTAGCCAAATTGCTTACTATCTTCTCCTCTGCAGTATCAAGAATCAAAACAGAAGAAAATTCAGAATAGAAGATTGAATTTTATGTAGTAATTAAATATTCCCTAGTTTTCCCATATACTCCCTTTATATCACTTTAAAATGCAGTGTTTGACTGGGCATGAAGTTTATGAAAGAAAAAGACTCTAGCACATACCAAAAGCGCCCTTAGAACTTGTGGTTTTAAACACATCATGACATTTCTATGACTTTACGAGCATATCATTAAAGGTAAATAAGAAGTTCAAATTCTAGAAATGTACTATACTTTTCGGAACATAAAGGAGGAGGAAAAAGTAAGTACTCTGTGCGAAGACCATAGATGCAAAGGAGAACCAAAAGATCATGCCAACTTGGTGAGAAGGAGGTCCTCTGAATTCTTCATTCACTCTGTGTTCAAGTAGCCAAATGACAAAACCAATGAAAACAAAAAAACAGAAGCTTGTTAACCACAGCTCCCAAGTCAATGGCTTCAAGAATACCCATGCTTTATTTCTGTTGTTGTCTTTGATTGGCACCATCATTGTCACTCCAGATTCTGTGTATGGTAATGTGAAATCAACATATTGTAACCTATTTGATCTAATGGTAGCGTCCCCAACAACAGCATCAAAGTTCTGTTCATTGGTTAATATTAGAATCAAATAAAAGTACACACACATATATATGCATGCAAGAAATGTATTTCACTAGACGTTTTCCAACGGACGTTCCCGTATAACTCCATCGGTACTTTAAGTGGACTTTGTAAATTAAACTCGAAGGGGAGCCTTGGCGTAACTGGTAAAGTTACATGCCACCAGGAGGTCACGGGTTCAAGCCGTGGAAACAGCCTCTTGCAGAAATACAGGGTAAGGCTGCGTACAATAGACCCTTGGGGTCAAACCCTTCCCCAAAACCTGTGCATAGCGGGAGCTTAGTGCACCGGGCTGCCATTTGTAATTAAACTCGATGAGTAATGGGTCTTGTCTTTGTCGAAAATATAGGGGAAAAAATTAAGAGATTTACCCCAAGAAATACTTGACGAACAAGATCATCGTAACTTTGAGTAGTCTTTGCACCAGGAGGTGCATAGGGAACAAATTCATAAGGAACAGAATAATTTAATTCTGACATCACTGCCTCAAAAACATCAATGCAGTAACCAGTTACTGTTGTTGTGTTAGTAGTAAAATCTCTTGTAACTTTCACAAACTCACTGAAACCATCCTTCACTGGAACTCCAATTTTCAGTTTCTTCCCATTTGTGGGAATCACCCAACCTTTAGGAAGAGAATTAGTGTCACCAGGCCATATAATAGACCCAAAATTCTCCTTAGAAATGGAATATCCACTTCTCAAATTCAGTTTTTTAACAATCCCATTTTCCCTTGTCCAAAAACCAATTCCTTTTGCACCATTACCAATCAGATTTATAATCTGATAAGCTGGTGACTGTAATTGACCATCAACGAGTTGAAAATCTCCGCTAAGTCCTTTGAAAGTAGTGTTTAGTATAGCTTGAAGAAGCTTCGGACCATCTTTGGAAACTCCAATAGTTTCAAGATCTGTTGCATTTCCTGAAAAATTTATAGAGGTTCAAAATCAAATCATTTTTTAATAACTCCAAACACGCCCAAGTTCAAAAGAGCTAGATTATGACTCGTTTATTTATTTTACCACTCAAGTTTGACTCAAACCGTCCATTTTCCACATGTACCTGAAATGTTTAGCTTCTGAAAAGGTGCTCCAGTGATTCTTGATTTCTCCACTGCCATGGCTAGTGCAGTGACTGAATCATAAGCCCATAGTCCAAACACATTCAATTCTGCATTAAGAATTGTTGGATTTTCTTGTTGAAACTTCAATTTCCATCTAGTAGTGAAATTCTCAAGCCTTTTGTTTCTCGGGACATGGGCTTTCACTCCAATAACTCCATGCATGGATTCAATAGCTGAAGAATCCATAGAAGTAAGTTCATCTGTCATAGCATCTGTAATAATCCAAACATACCCTTCACTCATCATTCCAAGTTCTTTGGCCTTAGTAAATATTTTGGCACCAAGCAGCGTTGTCATATGCACAACAAAAACACGAGTTTGCATACTCATTAACTTGTAAAGTTCGGATGTTATCTGATCATTAGTGGCGAATTCAGGAATAACACTTCGATAAGGGATACGTGCATTGATTTTTTCCAATGCATCCGCCAAGAATGGTATAATTCCTTCTCCAAATTGATTGTCAATGTATATAGGGACAACTTCTCTCCATCCAAAAGATTGGATAATGGAACTAACGGTTTGAACTTGAGAGGAATCACTTAGAGTGGCACGAATGAAATATGGACTACGAAATGATGAGAGGGAAGGACTTGTAGCTGAAAATGAGATGATTGGTACGTGAGATTTCTCTCCTAAACCAATTATGAAATCAGCTTGCATTGATGATGTTGGCCCTATTATGGCTTCCACTTCGACATTCTTCAATAGGTCAATTGCTGCATTAATTTACAGAGAATGCAAGAATCAACGAAAGTATGTGACAGCAACAACGTCTCTCTGAATTCACATAATTCCATGCACTAATTAGTTAACATAATTCTATGCACTAATAGTACAAAAAGCATTTACACAATCCGATTAATTAGTTAATCTATAACAACATGTAATTCTTCTTATAAAGTCTGATATGGTGACCGGGAAAATAGAGTATACTTAACCTACTCTAAGTAAGAAATTCGTATATATATACGAAACTTACCTGCTGCAGCAGCAGCAACAACGTTACTATTCGAGTCACGGGTATGGAGAACCAGTCTGGTCTTATAATCAGAGCCATGATCAGAGCTATAAAAATCAGATAAAGCCATAGAAATACAGCTTAAACCCATATTTCCAACCCATGCATCCATGTCCATCACAACTCCAACATTTATGGGAACTGTTTTTCTTTTTTGTGCCATGGCCATTTTCATGGAGAAAAGTATTCCTAAACATAGGAAAAAGAAAGAGAAAGAGGAAATGAAAGAAGAGACTGAGAAAAAGACTTTGCAGGTATTCTTTCTCATCTTGACAATAGATGCCTTTGAGTCTGATTATTTGGACTGTTTGTGTTATATATATATATATAGAGAGAGATTTGACTACTATTCATTATGGCATTTTAATAATAAGTTCACCTAGCTACAAATTTTAGGAATAATTCTTGGGGTTATCTTAAATCAGTGTTGGTAGAGCTTCGATACAATAAGGGGTTCGGCGGAACCCAATGGCTTTAGTCCAAATCATATAGTTGTCTGAAGAAATTTATTGAATAGGTACAAATTCTTACTTTAGAAACTAGTAACATAAAAAAGTTAGAATTCGGAACCCGGTTACTTCAAATCCGGGCACCGCCTCTTGGTACTGAGATAGAATTTAAATTCTTTTGATGCTTGTGTAGCTTTCAAATGTATAGTATACTCCCTTAGTTTTAATTTATGTGATGCATTTTCTTTGAACATAAAGTTTAAGAGAGAAAAACTTCTTTTAACATATACTATTAAAAGTTTACTTGGTAAAAGCCAAAACATTGATCCAGAATTCGAAGAAAGTGACATAGGAGAAGAAAACTAGACTATATATTGAATAAAAACGTAGTACAAATTAAAGTGACTGAGATTTTATTAAGTCAACTGAATGGGTTGAAAAAATGTAGATAACGCTAAGTTAAAGCCTGGAATTTGAATAATCAACTATTATTGTTGAGTCGAGTTGTATTCATTGACTATCACAATCTCCAAATGATTCGTAAGGGGACAACATCATAGAAAAGGACTTGCAAATTAAATCTAACAACGTACTATATTTTGGTGAATATATTTTTCAGTTTTGAATTTATTAACCTAATACTTTTGGGAACTTTACACAAATAGCATGTTGGATTCACTACTTACATTTTTTTATCGGTATAAATAAATTATAAAAACAAGCATAGCAACCTCTCAAATTGGCAAAAAGTAAAATTGAAACCATAATTCTTTCTTAATTGCTTAAAATATTTTAGAATATATAGGTCGCATGTCAACCAAAATAAAGTAGCAAACATGACTGCTCAACTTGTTCAGTTTTGAAGAGAATTTGTCTTTGACTTTTATTGCATTTCGTTTTCAAAATCCTGAGTTCACTTTCTGTAAACTGACACGGGTATACATAGACCTGGTTGGTTCGGATTTTTCAATTACAAAATTAAATCAATGATGTCGGGTTTTTAAATCTACTAGTCTTAGAGTACGCGCTTTGCGCGTGTACCCTATATCATGAATATACAAGTTTAAAAGAATTAAGTAACTGTGTTAAATAATTGGTTTGAGTTATTGAAATTATTGAAAAAGATCTAAGCTCCTAAAAATTATAAATACTGATCCAATTTAGCTAGATCAATAAATAAAGAAATTATGTCTCACATATGCATTATTGTAGTTTCTCGGGACATATGTGATATCTTATGAAAATCATTGCTATTTTTGTTACCTAATCAATTTTGCTCTATTTTTTATTTCTTTCATTGTCAATGCTCTTCTATGGAAATAAATTGATGTACCACAAGAGATTTATCAATTTAGAAAATAATTTTACTTATATGATAATTTTTAAAAAAGAATTAGATTGAATTATTTTGCTAATTACTACCATTTCTAGTTTATATGGATCTTTTTGCTTTTCAAGAATTAATTTGACTATTTTTTGAAGCTAAATTGGTTTAGAATAACTTGATATTTTAAAGTTAAAAATATTTAGATATTCAAAACTTATACGAGAAATACTATAAGTTGCAATTTTTCTTGTGTCAATATGATTAAAAAAAATTAGACTTTTGGTCAAAGTTTATATAGTTTGAAGCTTCATAAACTATTTTACATAAACTGAAACCAAGGGAGTAATTAATCAAAGACTTAATTATTTGTTCTCAATTTTAAAAAGAAATAGTTTTTTTTTCCATTGCGGCTTCGTACTTTTGTAATAATGTAAAAGAGATAGATAATTCTTAAACTCCTTTCCTACTCGAATAATATTTTTCTATCAATTTTTGTATAATATTCAAAATTTACATTCACTAATTTAAAAAATACTTAATTGAGTATAAACCTCTCACTCTTTAGCAATAATAAATTACAAAAGCTTCCCCTTGGAATTCTAAATGCCCTATATGAAGAATAAATGTCAAACTTTTCATTGAAATTATAGTTAGTAAACGTAAGAAGAAAAAACGCAATAATCCTATTTATCCAAAACGATATTTTTTTACTGTCCTAAATATTAGGATTTTTTATGTAATTCAAATAAGGAAAGCTTTAATAATCAAGATTTTAGCTAATTTTAAAGTCCTAAATATTAGAAAAATAGCTAAATTACCATTTTGTCTAATATAAAATCTATTTTTAAAGGGTAAAAAAGACGAACGACATTTCACTAAGGGCCTTCATGCTTTTAATATAGTATATAGATATACCAAATCAAACCAACAAAGTCGGGTTTTTCAATGTCGGTTTTTTCAGTTTTTCCGAATTTTCGGGTTTTTTTCCAGTAAAGTCTTTATAGCACAAAATATGTAACTTGTGCTCCAAATATATTTTATAGTCCTAGTAAGATACAACTACATAATGTATTTTCCAAGAAAATAACAGAATAATATGAGATAAGTCATAACATTATACTAAAATATTCAATAACAAAGATAACAAAATTGCATAAAGCAAATATTGTTAATTAATAAGCCATAATAAAAATTAACATAATCTAAAAATACTACTTATGTAGGTCATGCTATATAAGTATAGCTAATAAGTACTATTAATTACATAACTAAGCACTAAAGAAAAAGATAAACTAAGTTATGCATTTTTATTATAAACCACTGTAAAATTAAAAAATCGATATCCAACACTATCATCATTCCTAGTGTTGAATTGAATTTTGTTTTAGCATTAATATTGATTTGAACTTTAATTTATTTAATTTACTAAATTTATGGGCTATAAATTTATTTACCATTCAAGAATATTAAGTTCAAACTTAAAATAATACGTTAAAAGATAAAACCGTGAAACAGTTTAAAAAGTATTTATAAATTATATTACAATAAATATTTATATGTATAAAATAATTTTTTTAAATTGTATAAATGTACTATCGGGTTGGTTTGGTTCCGGTTTGACTTTTTTTAGTTAAAAATCAAACACGATCAATTATGGTCGGATTTTTTTTCCAATACCAAACCACAATTGATTTTTTTTTTCTTTTTTGTTTGACTCGAATTATTGATTTGATGCAGTTTATCGGTTTTTGTTGTACACCCCTTAACTCAGGATTTGTTTATCATTAATCAAAATGGAGACATTTTCTAAACTAACTATGATATTGTTATTTTTATTCCCCTAATAAGAGTTTACTTTTGACCAATTCCACAGATCCTAGCTAGTTCTGGTCTAGCTAATAAGAATTATATAACGTACATGAGCCATTTATGCAAAGCACATAAGTCGCTATAACGTGGGAATTTTATTTTCTCCTAATCTTTCTTTTCTTCTTTTTCTATTTAATTTGTAATTTGTAAAGATCCCAGTACCCTTGATTTATTTAGTAAGATATTGAGAATTGACTTTGAAATATTCACAATTTGAAGTCCCTAACTGCAAAGGGAAATGTTATCCTGTAATTTATATATTATCTGCTAATTACAGGTTAGCTCAAGAATTAGTTAATGCTACTTGCTCGATGACCTTTTCAGAAATAAAATAATAGAATAATAAAATCAATTGAAAGATTGCATTCAACTATTCAAATCACAGCTCACAAGAGCCAAGAAATATTGTTTAATTACCAAATACCAATTGGGTGCGAGTAAATTTTTACCCCTGATTGGCAGTGCTAAAAGCAAGAATCCATTGCGTCCAATTTTATGCAGTTTCGAATTAATGTTTGGATAATGTTCTAAACGTTCCAGTGGAAGATAGTTTATCGGAAATTATTTTCGAAAATGTTTTAGAATTTTTTAAAAAGAGTTTCCTCTAATTTTATCACCATAAATATCTAGCTTTGATAATATTATATGAAGTACTAGGTGGAAAAAATAAGTAGAAATGACACCAAGTAGCCCCTCTAAAGGGCTGCAATTTAGGAATTAGCCCGTGTATTCTGAATTTCAGTTTTTCAGTTCAATTTTTCAGGATAAAAATGTCCTAAGTTATCCTAAAGCTAAGATTTTTAGTTTAAAATTTTAGGACAAAATAAGTAATGACTAATCTCTAAATACCATCCCTAAGAATGACTATCTATGCACTTGCGCCAAAAAATAATGAACAGATACTATTAAGGGCCACTTTCATGGTTTTTTTTGGGTAATAAGGGTTAATAATAGGAAAAATTACGCGACACATCAAACATTTACACTGTATTTATTATTCGTAGCTATACTTTCAGCAAATTTACTATTCATAACTATATTTGAATCTTATGGCAAATCCATAAAATAAGAGATTAATTATTTTGAACTGAAACAAGAGAGCACAAGCTCTCGTAGCTCAGTTGGTTAGAGCGCCCAATAGTTAGCAATGGTCTTGAGTTTGATTCTCAACAAGAATACTTTATTTTTCTGTATTTCTGTATTTCGCCTTAGTTGTATTCGTTGCACGAACAAATATGTGTATCGACTTACGTGCATGGTTGGATTCTGTTTCCGGATGAAAGGGAGTCGAATTGAAAGAAGGAATCTAGTTTTGGAAGCTTAAGCAGTGAGAATTTGACCGGATTTTGACTTTTAAGTAGACGACTCCGGAATAAGTTTTGGATGATGTCAGTAGCTTCGTATGGTGATTTTGGACTTAGACGTGCATTCGGATTTGGATTTGGAGGCCCGTAGGGTAATTTGAGGCATTTCGGCGAAAGTTGGAAAAGTTGAAGTTGGGAAAATGGAGAGGTTTGACCCATAGTTGACTTTTGTGTTATCAAGGCCGGAATGGGATTCCGAAAGTTGGAACAGCTCTGTTATGTCATTTGGGACTTGCCTGCAAAATTTGGTGTCGTTTGGAGTTGATTTG